GCTGTCACGGGCTGCTTCCTGGGGGTGGAGGCCTGGTCGAGGACCGGGCCGCGGGGACACTAAAAGCCCCGAAATCATCTCAAGATAACCTCAAGATAGGTGTTTTATTGAAAACTTTAGTTAATAAAGTGGGTTTGCAGCCTCTTTCAACAGGTGATATTAAGTTTGGTCCTATTGATTTGCAGGGAGGAAGGGGGGGTGGGGGTAGTTTGGCAGGCTTGTTAGGGTGTGGTAGTTGAGTAACAGTGTTGTGTACTAACCTTGTACAGCTCAACTACTATTGTGTCACCCCGCGCCATCTTGTACAAATATTATTAGGTCGAAGAGTCTTGCATTATGAGGCTAAGAGGACACCGGCTTGAAAGTGAGAGCACAGCTTCAGCTTGAGCTCTTGGGCCCCACCTCTCAAGTCATCCTGTGTACTGGTTCCCGAAAACCCCTAATGTATCGATATGTAAAGCTGTTTATCGTCTAACTACATACCACTTCCTAGTTCATTACTATTTTTTTTTACAACCATGACACTGAAAAATGAATTTCTTATGTAACTGGTACTCCGTTGCAACTTTCAAGTCATTATTCGTGTACTTTACTCAAGTATTATGTATGTGGTGATCATGTATCGTCTGGTTTCGTTATCTTGCTATTTCTTGAGAACACTACTCCCGTTACTGGCTCTGTGAGAATGTCAGTTAATTACAAAGGTACCGACACAACTCACTGTACTTTAAGTACCTTTGGAACTAAGCCCAAACGCTACTAACAAATCTTAAGAATATTTCCCATTACATAAACGACTTTTACCATCTAGACATTCTAGAGAATGAAAAAAAAATATATGACCTACTCTGTCCTTTACACACAGAAATCACAATAGCGTGATGTATCAAATGAACAAATCCACAAGGGCCGTGGCGGGGATTCGAACCTACGTCTGAGAGCATCCCAGAAGCTGCCTTAATCGACTGAGCTATTCTTATACCATGTCGTAGCTCAGTCGATTAAGGAAGCGTCTGGGATGCTCTCGGACGTAGGTTCGAATCCTCGTCACGGCCCTTGTGGATTTGTTCATTAGTCTGTCCTATTTATTACAACGATTTGTTACTCGATCTTATCCAGCAAATAATTGTGAATAATGATTGAATTATTATCACCTTCGAGGGAGATAGTAACAAGCTAAGGTAACAACTACACTGAATTATCACCCCAGGCGATTATACATTGTCATTTTTATTCATTCACCCAGGCATATAAAAGGGAGGTATAGGCGATACTGGATCTTACGGGCTATTCATGCCCGTGCCACCTTTTGGGTGGCTTAATCTTCATCAATCAATCTGATACTGGATCGGCAGGGCAGCGCTCCAGTGCCAGGTAAGTCCACTACGGGCTCACCATAGCCCGTGCTACTTGAAACTTGTTCTGAGTAGCTGAATCTATAACAACAACAACAGATACTGGATCACATACCGGATATGATTGACAGGAATTGTAAGTCTGACACTGGAAAATTTAACATTTCCGCCTCTGACGGAGAGAGATGTATTAAGAACATACGAACAAAGGTGTAGGCCTTTGCAGAAGGCCTATTGGCCCATACGAGGCAGCTCCTGTTTATACCCACCCAATCCCACTCATATACATGTCCAACCCACGCTTGAAACAATCGAGGGACCCCACCACGATACATAAGAATGTACCGTGGTGAGGTCCACTAATGAGACTACTAATGTAGTCTCCAAGACTTTGAAAACTTCCTTACCTAGATATTTGAAACCTATTCTTCCTTTTAATAAGAAATATAATCAGTGGCCATAATTCTTACCTATTTCGGCAACCCGGAGGGAAGGGAAGATAGGGAAGAACGAGAAAAAGAAAGAGGAGATAGCAGAGAATATACAGCAACAGAGAAGATGAGACAGAGAGAGGAAAAGCAACTTTCTTATCCCAACGTCGTCACTTTCTCCTTGTGTCAGTCGTGTGGCTCTTGACCTCAGACCAATAACTTCCAACTCCTGACATTATCCGCCAGCGAGATCCGCATCATTAAGCGATATGTCTTACCCTCACAGATACGAAAAAAAGGAAAAAAATTACCCTCTAGATTTTTATGTATCAAGATTTCCACCGGAAAAAACTTTCTCCTTGAAGAATCAGCTCAGAGACACAGGCGAAAGTTTGAGAAGAGACGCTTACTCTTTCCTATGAGATGTGTAAACCAGAGTTTACTTTCACGATCCGGTTCGCCCTCTCAATCATTGCCCTTCTCTCGACTGGGATTCCCTCTCGATTCTAGCTCCCTCTCGACTGGAGTTCCCTCTCAATCCTAGCTCCCTCTCGACTGGAGTTCCCTCTCAATCCTAGCTCCCTCTCGACTGGAGTTCCCTCTCAATCCTAGCTCCCTCTCGACTGGAGTTCCCTCTCAATCCTAGCTCCCTCTCGACTGGAGTTCCCTCTAAATCCTAGCTCCCTCTCGACTGGAGTTCCCTCTAAATCCTAGCTCGCTCTCGACTGGAGTTCCCTCTAAATCCTAGCTCCCTCTCGACTGGAGTTCCCTCTCAATCCTAGCTCCCTCTCGGCCCTGATCCTCTTGTGGAAACCACACACGTCAAACAATTGCCCTTTTAAGCAAAAAGCAGTTCAACTCCCCCCTTAATATTTAACACCCCCCCCCCTTTGTGTGATATATGTTCCTAGCCTTCTGTGGTCCTTCCTGTCGTTCTAACAAGTCCGTTTTCTTAGTTGCCGTCTCTAGGCTTATTGCGGATAGGCCTATGTATGGGAAATGTGATTAGCCTTCAAGCTAATACGATCAACGATCAACGAGGCTGTTAGAGGTGTTTGGCTCAGGTATATACGACGCAGGACCCCCCCCCCCCCCCCCCTGCTTAACCACGTATATTCAACTCTATAGAACATTCAACGCCAATTCACTAGAGATAACTATCACTAACTACCTGTCTACCACTAGTAGTTAATTATGCTTCATATGAAAGACGAACTTTACTCTTTGTGAACGTGGATTAGATCCGTAATGATCTTATCTCTCCAAAACTAAACTCAAAGATTGATAAATATTAACTCAATGAAAGACAAAGATTTAAATCGAAACCATTCGCAAAGATTTAATAGACATTTAATTTTTTATTTTTGCAGAGATACATCTCAGCGGGCCTTATAGGTCTCTCAGGCTGGCCCATTAAGTCATGTTCTCAAACATGACTTGACTTAAGTCATCAAGTCAAACAGTCTCCGTGGTGTAGTGGTAAGACACTCGCCTGGCGTTCCGCGAGCGCTATGTCATGGGTTCGTATCCTGGCCGGGGAGGATTTACTGGGCGCAATTCCTTAACTGTAGCCTCTGTTTAACGCAACAGTAAAATGTGTACTTGGATGAAAAAACGATTCTTCGCGGCAGGGGATCGTATTCCAGGGACCATAGGATTAAGGACTTGCCCGAAACGCTACGCGTACTAGTGGCTGTACAAGAATGTAACAACTCTTGTATATATCTCAAAAAAAAAAAAAAAAAAAAAATGTTCAACTCTGTCATAGGTGTATGAGTATTTATGAATCATATGATGGTTTCAGTGAGGTTATGTCCAATATGTTGAACAACTTCTACTTCCTTAGAAGAAAATTGTTAAAATTCTAAGGGGGCAATTCAGGCTTTGACATATAGTTTTAAATTCTTAATAATCTGTTTAATCCGCTTGTATATGAAATATCTTTTCCTTCAGTTGGAAATAATTTTCGTTCACGATAATGCCTAATATGATCTACCTCTCCTGTGTGAACACGGAGGAGACATCTCCCGTCACGCAGGGTGCAGTCGCGCCTCCACAGATCTCCAGTATCAGCTCCTGATACTGGTAATGGCTCAAAAGGGCCACCACTTACGGGTTATTCATGCCCGTGCCACCTCTTGGGTGGCTTAATCTTTATCAATCATCCTGTGTGAAATCTTCCTCTCAAAGAGCCTCGATCTCGGCCCATGAATCCAGTAACTCCCATATCCAGAGTTATCACTCCTATACCTTGAAGTGTTCGAACTACAAAACCTTTCGTACAGTAGCTCCTACTCTAAACTGTTCGAACTCCTGCAAATGATCACTTGAACCACCTGGAAGCCTTCTCACGTGATAGGTTAGGTTTCTTACGTATTGGTCACGACTCGTTGGGTACCTAGCGCCACCCCCCCCCCCTCTTCCTCTTCCCATGGTACCTACCCCTCCCTCTGACTAAGTACCCTTTGGGTACCAGTGCTTCAAGCTTTATAAACTATTCTAAACAGTGTCAAAGCTATGTATAACTATGTATAACTTGGCCACACACATATATCATATACATAGTTCATGCAGTGAGACCAGCTCGTATTCACCATTTCTTTCCTAGGGTATACATTCGAGACACGCCCAGGTTATACATATATGTATTGCCTGGATATGAGCTCGTAACAACGGCCTTATCTCGTATGCATAGCGTGGTGCCTGAGTATACATATGCATGAGAAAAATTACCATTTTCCTTACGCGTCACGGGTAACGTAGGTATATGTATACAGCCAGACAGTAGAGGTCTAGGGTACAATATAGGGTACTACACAAATTTCTTGCACTCAATAACGGCTGTACAAGAATGTAACAACTCTTGTATATATCTCAAAAAAAAAAAAAAACTCATCTTCCCTTCAAGTTTTACTTAACGGTCCACACAATCTAATTCCGACGACGATCACATTAAATCACAATTAATTGCTTTTCCACAACCTCACAACCCCCATATTGCAAACCAAAAGACATCGTAAACAATTACATACATTGGACCGCGAAGCCGTTAAACTCTCAAATTTTTCACTTTCCATTTCACCAATTATAGAAAACGGACATTTACCCGACGCGGCGCATGTTAGGGGGGGAAACTAAGGCAAATAGATGATGCATAGCCGTTTGTCGGAGACCATTATATATATATATATACGGAGACACAAGTAGCACTCACCGGAGCTCCCATGGGAGATGTGTAATCCACGAGGGAACTGAGAAGTCTACACTAGGCCGGCCATCGCACGCTACCTCTATAAGCTGAGACAATGAACGAGTTTTTGCGCCCACTCGAAGCCTTCTCCATACATTCGTTCATTCGCCGTCGATTTCACACGTTTTCGTCCGCGTATCTGAAACATATTGACGTTTCTTACACTAAATTTATGATTTATTTTACATACATATATCATATCAATTAATATTGTTATATATATAAAGCAAATGAAACATATTGACTATTTTAGACTAATGATAAATACGAAACCCACTTAATTTCGTACCGTTGCAAAGATATGTCCGAAAACTTTTGAAACACTGGACTTCGTAATACGCCGGAAACGATGCCACAAAACTTTGCAAAAGACACTACTTATTAACACAAATGCATACATCAACATTCAACTTTTTGAAACAAATTCCCCACAAAAGTGGAAACAGTTTTCAATATGACCTGAGAGAATACTTTGTTGCTGGCCTTCAGCGGCGTGATGACGGGGGCGAGGCAAGGGCACGCCCTGAGAGGGAAAGTGATCACAGGGCACACCACGAGAGGGAAAGTGTTCACAGGGCACACCACGAGAGGGAAAGTGTTCACAGGGCACACCACGAGAGGGAAAGTGTTCACAGGGCACACCACGAGAGGGAAAGTGATCAGAGGGGCACACCACGAGAGGGAAAGTGTTCACAGGGCACACCACAAGAGGGAAAGTGTTCACAGGGCACACCACGAGAGGGAAAGTGTTCACAGGGCACACCACGAGAGGGAAAGTGTTCACAGGGCACACCACGAGAGGGAAAGTGATCACAGGGCACACCATGAGAGGGAAAGTGATCACAGGGCACGCCCTGAGAGGGAAAGTGTTCACAGGGCACACCATGAGAGGGAAAGTGATCACAGGGCACGCCCTGAGAGGGAAAGTGTTCACAGGGCACACCATGAGAGGGAAAGTGATCAGAGGGGCACACCATGAGAGGGAAAGTGATCACAGGGCTCACCACGAGAGGGAAAGTGATCACAGGGCTCACCACGAGAGGGAAAGTGATCACAGGGCACGCCCTGAGAGGGAAAGTGATCAGAGGGCACCACCATGAGAGGGAAAGTGATCAGAGGGGCACACCATGATAGGGAAAGTGATCAGAGGGCACACCACGAGAGGGAAAGTGATCAGAGGGGCACACCATGATAGGGAAAGTGATCAGAGGGGCACACCATGATAGGGAAAGTGATCAGAGGGGCACACCATAAGAGGGAAAGTGTAGTGAGAGGACAGTAGGAATTTTATTTCCTTTGGACCCCACATGTTTACAAACCATTCATTGTCAATTATATAACTGCTGAAAATGAATAATTCACAACGCGGAGTTCATATCTTCCTCAAGATGCCACCCACAACAGTTAACTTACACCACCCCACCTACCTTCCAAAGTACCTATTTCCTGGAAGGTAAACAGATGCAACGAATATCTTGCCCTGCAACCCTCTCCCTCTCTTCCCAAATCGAACCATGTCACAAGCGGCCCCCAGACACAACAATGACACACTCCAGTCAGCCCAACCAAGACGTGAAGTTGAAGTTCGGGAAATAGAGCATCGTAAGGCTCTCTCTCGTACCGTTCCTGACGGTGTGACCCACAGTAACCGGTGACATACAACTGTGTTAGACCTAAAACTGTGCCAAAGTCAAGCAGGTGTTTCAGTGAGGTAACCTGTCACTTTGTCCGTTCTCAGGGTATAATGTTATAGCTACCTCGGTTGAACTTTAATTGAACCCTGCTTTGCATAAATTGGAACTTATTTCTATAAATTGGAACTTTCTCGAATAAGTTGGAACTTACTCGCATAAATTGGAACTTACTCGCATAAATTGGAACTTACTCACATAGGTTGGAACTTACTCGCACAAATTGGAACCTACTCGCATCAACAGGAGCTGCTTAATATGGGTCAACATATATTTTCTGCATTTTCTTACGCTCATAAATATTTTAACTAATTCCGTTAATTGTTAGTGCTGGTGTTATTCTAGCGCCGTTTTCTGTTTGCTATCAACATGCAATTTTCTATTTTGCCTTCAAGTGTTCTATTAGATTTCTCTCAACATTTCCTATTTCGTTCTCCCGTCTCGTATTTCAAGACGGGAGAACGTCTTATTTAAGACGTTCTCCCGTCTCGTATTTCAAGACGGAAGAACGTCTTATTTAAGACGTTCTCCCGTCTCGTATTTCAAGACGGGAGAACGTCTTATTTAAGACGTTCTCCCGTCTCGTATTTCAAGACGGAAGAACGTCTTATTTAAGACGTTCTTATTTAACAAGTTTCTTATTTAACTTCTAGTTAAATAGATAAATAACAGATATAAATAACTAAATAAATAATTAAATATTAAATAACAGGCCGGAAGGCTGCGGCTTGTCAAAATTGGCCATTTATCCGTGTTTTTTTTAAGCATTATCCACTGTTATAAATATTTTGTTACCATTTGGCGGGGACTGATAGCCTACGGTTAGTCAAAGTCCCCTCTCCCTCCCAACACCAATGGGAGGGATGGGGACCTTACATTGTTTTAAGGCTATAGCAAATACCTGATCACGATGCCTCTGTTCACCTAGTGGTAAACTGGTCATATGGGAGCTATTGAACTGTTGTGGGTGGCAGGAGGCCCGGAACGCGGGGAAGTCGAGCCCGTGTAACCTGTACCCCCTAGGGGAAGGTCAGACGATGGGTCAATATGACCTTAATATCCCTTACAACCTTCAAAGCCCCCAACAATTGGAAATAAAGTCCATTATACACCTAAGGCGGGGTCCAAGAGCTAACACCTAGCCTACACCTAGCCTAACACCTAGCCTAGCCCGGGTACACATAATCGTCATACCCCTCGTAGGGGGGCCTCGTAGCCTGGTGGATAGCGCGCAGGACTCGTAATTCTGTGGCGCGGGTTCGATTCCCGCACGAGGCAGAAGCAAATGGGCAAAGTTTCTTTCACCCTGAATGCCCCTGTTACCTAGCAGTAAATAGGTACCTGGGAGTTAAGTCAGCTGTCACGGGCTGCTTCCTGGGGGTGGAGGCCTGGTCTAGGACCGGGCCGCGGGGACACTAAAGCCCCGAAATCATCTCAAGATAACCTCAAGATAACCCCTACCCACCTTCCTCCATTTTACCCCATAAACAATATCAGCAAAAACTACCCCATGTGATGCAAGGACGTACCCCTGCGGCCATGCTCCACTGGGGCACCGCCCGACCCTCTTGATGTTATCTTGAGATGATTTCGGGGCTTTTTAGTGTCCCCGCGGCCCGGTCCTCGACCAGGCCTCCACCCCTAGGAAGCAGCCCGTGACAGCTGACTAACACCCAGGTACCTATTTTACTGCTAGGTAACAGGGGCATAGGGTGAAAGAAACTCTGCCCATTGTTTCTCGCCGGCGCCTAGGATCGAACCCAGGACCACAGGATCACAAGTCCAGCGTGATGTCCGCTCGGCCGATCCTACACAACCACGTATAATAACGTAATCTGAATTCACATTTTGCGTTTTATCTAGATTGATTGGTAAAGATTAAGCCAGCCAAGAGGTGGTACGGGCATGAATAGCCCGTAAGTGGTGGCCCTTTTAAGCCATTACCAGTATCAAGAGCTGATACTGGAGATCTGTGGAGGTGCGAATGCACCCTGCATGACGGGAGATGTCTCCCTTATGAATGTGTTAAGATGAAGATGAAGCAACCCAAAAGGTGGCACGGGCATAAATAGCCCGTAAGTGGTGGCCCTTTTAAGCCATTACCAGTATCAGGAGCTGATACTAGAGATCTGTTTTATCTAATATAAACTATCTTTATATAGTCTACTTTGGGGTATAGATATCCATAGGGGTTGGTTATGTAGGTTGACGCATTTAGAGAGGTGCGTTTCGAACAGACGTCGATAGCGACGCACTGCTTGAGTAAAGTTCGGCCGTCATTAGTTGCGTCCTCATACAACGTCGTATTTTGACGTATACTCTACCTAAGGCCAAAAACTATCGTACTAGAAAATGGAAGAGGCTGGCGAAAGTGACGTACTGATCCATTTTCTGTTATGGCTCCTCTGGCAGGTTAGGAGAGAGGACACTTTACACTGACCGTTTTCTTGACGCTGGGAAAACCTTAGCAGCACGACCTACGACCATCCCTGAGGATAGTCGACCATCCCTGAGGATAGTCGACCATCCCTGAGGATAGTCGACCATCCCTGAGGAGAGTCGACCATCCCTGAGGATAGTCGACCATCCCTGAGGATAGTCGACCATCCCTGAGGATAGTCGACCATCCCTGAGGATAGTCGACCATCCCTGAGGATAGTCGACAAGACCTGAGGATAGTCGACCATCCCTGAGGATAGTCGACCATCCCTGAGGATAGTCGACCATCCCTGAGGATAGTCGACAAGACCTGAGGATAGTCGACCAGACCTGAGGATAGTCGACCATCCCTGAGGATAGTCGACCATCCCTGAGGATAGTCGACCATCCCTGAGGATAGTCGACCATCCCTGAGGATAGTCGACCAGACCTGAGGATAGTCGACCATCCCTGAGGATAGTCGACCAGATAGTCCTGAGGATAGTCGACCATCCCTCAGGATAGTCGACTCCCTCAGGATAGTCGACCATCCCTGAGGATAGTCGACCATCCCTGAGGATAGTCGACCAGACCTGAGGATAGTCGACCAGACCTGAGGATAGTCGACCATCCCTGAGGATAGTCGACCATCCCTGAGGATAGTCGACCATCCCTGAGGATAGTCGACCAGACCTGAGGATAGTCGACCATCCCTGAGGATAGTCGACCATCCCTGAGGATAGTCGACCATCCGTGAGGATAGTCGACCATCCCTGAGAATAGTCGACCATCCCTGAGGATAGTCGACCATCCCTAAGGATAGGATAGTCGACCATCCCTGAGGATAGTCGACCATCCCTGAGGATAGTCGACCATCCCTGAGGATAGTCGACCATCCCTGAGGATAGTCGACCATCCCTGAGGATAGTCGACCATCCCTGAGGATAGTCGACCATCCCTGAGGATAGTCGACCATCCCTGAGGATAGTCGACCATCCCTGAGGATAGTCGACCATCCCTGAGGATAGTCGACCATCCCTGAGGATAGTCGACCATCCCTGAGGATAGTCGACCATCCCTGAGGATAGTCGACCATCCCTGAGGATAGTCGACCATCCCTGAGGATAGTCGACCATCCCTGAGGATAGTCGACCATCCCTGAGGATAGTCGACCATCCCTGAGGATAGTCGACCATCCCTGAGGATAGTCGACCATCCCTGAGGATAGTCGACCATCCCTGAGGATAGTCGACCATCCCTGAGGATAGTCGACCATCCCTGAGGATAGTCGACCATCCCTGAGGATAGTCGACCATCCCTGAGGATAGTCGACCATCCCTGAGGATAGTCGACCATCCCTGAGGATAGTCGACCATCCCTCAGGATAGTCGACCATCCCTGAGGATAGTCGACCATCCCTAAGGATAGTCGACCATCCCTGAGGATGGATGGTATCATCTCAACCTCATTTCACGGGTGACTCACTCCAGACAAGGTTATTTCCCCCGAGGGCAATTAGTTCCAGGCCAACTTCGTGACCTGGAAAAAAATGCTCTCGATGCCCCCGCACACTCCCACTCACCTCAGACGCTACTTAACGACCCCGTGGTCTGAAACGCAGGCAATTAAGGAGATTGAATGGTTACCGTAGTTGATTGTGAATCTTATAAGGGTTCAAATGCGCAGTTTGATAGAGGTGTCCATTGTGGCAAGATGCAAATACATAGCAGGAATTCCCTTTTTCAGAAGCCAGCCAAACAGGTCTGTAAGAAAGGCTTTCTCCTCACGCTTAGCGCCTCTTGTGTGTGTGTGTGTGTGTGTGTGTGTGTGTGTGTGTGTGTGTGTGTGTGTGTGTGTGTGTGTGTGTACTCGCCTAGTTGTGCTTGCGGTGGTTGAGCTCTGGCTCTTTGGTCCCGCCTCTCAACCGTCAATCAACAGGTGTACCTGAGCCTATTGAGCTCTATCATATCTACACTTGAAACTGTGTATGGAGTCAGCCTCCACCACATTACTTCCTAATCCTGTGTGTGTGTGTGTGTGTGTGTGTGTGTGTGTGTGTGTACTCGCCTACATGTGCTAGTAGGGCGAGTGTTGACTCCTAGGTTCCCCCCACTCTCACTACCTGTCACGTAGCGTCACCAGACAATCTTGCTTCTAATGTTGAAGTTGCACGGGGAGTTAGTCCGCCTCCACTCAATCCACTTGTTCACTCCCCCTCTTAGTCTGCATCTTGGGTGCTAATAACACCTCTCCCTACCACCGCTCACTTGAAGCCTTATACACTACTGGATTATTCCATAACCCGCTCCTGTGCCAGGTAAGTTACGGGCTCACCATAGCCCG